CTCTTTCCGTTCTCGCCTTGCTGTCGCAATTTCGCGACGTTCCGCCCCCCGTGCCGCGCCGTCAGGTGGGGCGACCTCGCGCGCCCATGGGCTTCATCCGATCGGGTCCAGCGAATGTATTTCCTCGCGGAGACTGCGCTGCGCAGCTCGCACTAGCTGGTACGCTTGAAAGCGCTGTGCGGGGCCCATGCTGGCCAACATGCTGCTGGGGTGCCCCCCGTTCCTGCCCGTCGCCCTGCCCCCCTGCCCCTCTTCGTCCTCCACCATTTCCGCTCTTCCAGTCCTGGTAATTCTTCTCTTCGTCCACCTGTTCAATCTCTCTCCTCCACCTCTCCCTCCTTCCCCCGCCCCCTCCACCTCCTCCTCCTCCTCCTCCTCTTCCTCCTCCTCCTCATTGTCCTCCTCCACCTCCCCCCCAATCGCCCTCCTCCTCCCCCCCCCCCCCGTCCTCGCCCCCCTCTGGCCCCGTTCAGTTGCGGGGCGAACCCCCTGTCGGCCTTGCGCGATAACCCTTTGGAATGACGAAACGCGCCCCCTGGCGCCCGCCCCCGCGCGGCGAGGCGGCGCGACGCGCGGCGTGGCTTCCGGCATGTATTCCGGCATGGAGCCGGCGCGAATTCGGCATGAGTATGACGCGGCAAATTTGCATGGCCAAAATCAATCTTAGATGGCGCATGACAAATTTGAGCCGCATTCCTGTCATGCGCGCGATTTCGCGGTCGCTGCGCCATCCCGGGCGCCCTCGGGCAACGTTTTCACGCCGCCCTGCGGCTCTTTTCCCCGGTTCTCAGGCGGACGCGAGGCGAATGGCGCCCACCCTCGCCCCCGTTGGGCCCTGGGCATGGATGGCCAAATCAGCGGCGCATCGTTGAACATCAGGCGCGTCGATGTAGGGCCGTCGGTCCCCAGGCGCGAGTTCGCGCTGCCCCTCGCGCCCGCGACGCGCCTCCACGTCGAAAATAATTGGCGCCGATCGACGGCGCCGCGCGCGGACCAACGCGGAAACGCGGCCCTCAGCGTCCGCCGCTGCGCCCTAGGCGCCAGCGCCGAGCCCCCAGGCGTCTGGGACGCGTGCGAACTGCTCCGAAGGGGCCTCCGGTTGCTCGTCTCGGCGCCGCGACGCGCGCGAGGGGTGCGCCGGGATCGGCGGGGGGGGGGCCATTCGACCAGCGGCAGCGGAACCTTCCGCAAAGCTTCTTTCGGCGCCCTTCGCGCTAAACTTGCGGGATGGCCCAGGAAACCTCGGAGGACCTTTGAGCGGTCAGCGGTCAGTTTGGCAGCCCCCGCGCGGGCCGGGCGGCGGGCGGGGGAGGGCGCGTCTTCTCCGAGCGGCGCCAGACAAGTCTTCAGGTGCATCACGGTGGCCCGCGGGGCCCCGTGGATTCCGCGGGGCGCAATGGGACTAGGGGCGCGGGTTCGGGCGGGCGTGCTCATCGTTTCAGGCAGGTCAAACAATGCATCCCTGGAGATAGCATTCCAAGTTGCCTGGTCGTGTTTGTGGTTTTGCCCGTGGCGCTGCTTTAATGATCTGGAAGATGCTTGCATCCCGCGCCGTCATATTTTCCGTCTCTGGCGTTTGGCTCGCACTTGCCCCCGTTCGACATGGCCACCCAGCCAGTCAACGTCGCGTGAAGTAGCTTCGTAAGACGTGTTTTTTGCGTTGGGGGGGGCTTCTTCTTCTTCTCGTCTCATCGTGCGCCTCTTCTGCGGGCCCGCGGGGGCCGAGAAGCGCGTGGCGGAGGTCGCCGGGCCACGTGGGTTCTGCCCGATCGCCGCCCTCGCCCCAGAGTACAACTACCAGCGCGACGGCCGCGCGGGGCCGACGAGAGCGACGAGGCCCAGCACGGGCACAGGCAAAGGGCGCGGCAAAGGCAGAGGGCGCGGCAATGTATTCGGCCCACCGCGACGAGAAGCTTGCAGGCCGCAGAAGGGAGCGTTTGGCATGGGTGCGCCATCAGTAGCAGGGTCGACAGGATGGGGCGCAACCCAGCAGCGCGGCCCGAGGTTCAAGCGCTTCAGGCATGGAGGCTTCACCAAGCCCGACGACGAGGCACGCGTGGTGGAACATGTTGAGACGCTGGAGTATGCTGACTCGACCGAGGGTTTCTCCCTGCTCACCATCGGCAAAGGCATCAGCGATGGAGGTGCTGCGCGGCCCGTCATGGGCGACAGAGTGTGGGCGCAGTGGGAGGGGCTACTACGTGCGCGGCAGTTGTTACATGAGGTCGAGTATAGCAAGAGTGATCGACGCTTCTGATTCGAAGGTGGCAAGGCGCTGGAGGCCAAGCAAGCGGTGACTTTGACGGCGTGGCCGTTGGGCTTCAAGAAGCAGATCGCGATCCATTTCGTCGACGGCTGGGCGCCGCTGCTGATCGCGCGACCCAGCGTGGAGGAGCGGGGCTTGATCCAGGACGACCGGGCTGGAACGCCCACGATGATGGATCTCCCCGACAAGGGCTGGGCGATGTCCGAGCGCGGCGAGAAGGGCCACTTCACCATCGACCTGTTGGGCCGAGCTGGGCGCGACGCCGAGGATGCCGCGAGCAAGGGGGCCCCCGCCGACGGCGACGGTAGCAGCAGCGGCTTAACGGACAAGGGCACCGAAGGAGAGTCTGTCAGTGATGGCGGCGACGACGGAGACACGCCGCCACCTGACCCCGACGCCCTTCGACCTGGAGGCGCTGACGGAGCACTGCGAGATCGGCAGCGACGACGAGACCTTGGCCACGGAGGAGGTCATGGGCCCGGAGCGCCACCTGATGGATGCGGACCACTTACTCGGACCTGGTCCTGGCCCTGGAGCAGGCGCCGTCCGACATGGAGAATGCGCTGCGCGGGCCGCGCAAGAGGCTGGTCTGGAGCCGCTCCCCTGCGCATGTACCGGCGCCCCCGGCAGCGCGTGGATGGGGAGATCTCTGAGGAGCGCGCCAAGGAGATCAATGATGCCACGGGGCGATAAGAGCGGACGTTTCTCAAGATGATTCCGACGGCGTTTGTGAAGCAGCAGAACGCAAACCGACGCGCGCATGTAGAAGGCCCGTGGAAGGGGGCTACACTGGCGGACGAAGACATGGACGACGTTGCCAGGATATCGCTGCAGGCTCGACCAGTGCGGTAAAGGAGCGAAGTACACGATCCAGAGGAACGCTATACCATGCCAGAAGCCCACGAGACTGCAGTCAACCAACAAGGTGTTCATTCACCACGTGACCCTGGCATGCGCGCGCACGGGCGACCTCGTGATCCCGCGGGGCAAGCTCGCCCGACAGGCTCAGAACTTCCCGAGACCCATGGCGAGGATAATGGCCTACTTGATCGCCTACCAGGGGATGGCCGACAACATCAGCGACATCAACGCGGCCGAGGAGGTCGGACATCGACGCCATCGAGTACACAGACATGATGCAGGAGCTGATGACGCGATTCAACGCGTTGAGGATCCGTGCAGTCAAGAGTGCACATGTCAGCCTGGGTCACCCTACAAACGTAGCGCTGGCGGTCGCCACGCAGCATGCGGGTGCCCCGGCGCGTTGGATCCAGTGCGCCAGGCTCTTCCAGTGCGAGAGCTGCCTAGGCGGGCAGAGACCCCGAGCGGCGCGATTCGCGGTGCTGCCGGGGGCCAAAAGGTCCGACGAGGTGGTCTGCACCGACGCTTAGCCTACTACATCGCGTGGGAGAAGATGGAAAGGAAGATCCTAGCCATTATGGGCGAGCGAATTTACGCGCAACGAGGTCGACTGCCCGTTCTAGAAGGAGACGTTTCTGAAGGAGTCGAAGTTATGGGACGGGCCGTGGATCAGCTGGGCCGGCAAGCCTACGACGATGAACATGAGAATGGGGGGCTCGCACGCGGCGAAGCGCGCGCGACTGGATGAGCAAGCGCGGCATCAAGCTCGACCTGATCCCGAAAGGCGTGCACCGCGGGCTAGGCCTTAATGGGGCGGAACCACGCGGTCAGGAGGGAACGGCTCAGTAAGCGCCATCTGCAGTTCCCCGACGACTCGCTCACGACAGCCCGCAGGATGACCGCCGGCCAGCGGGGCGCCCTGAGGAGCGCGCGCGGGTTCTCGCCTGCGGCGCTGGTCTTGGGGGAGCAGCCCAAGATCCCCAGCGCCCTCTGCGACGAATACTTCGGCCTGTCGGACCAGGCCAGTCGACCCCAAGAGCGAGGTGCGCGAGATGATGATCGGGGGAACGGCTGCCGCGACGGCCTTCATCGAGGCCAATTGCTCGCGCGCCATGCGAGCGGCGCTGCTGGCGCGCAGCAGGCCAACGAGGAGGAACAACGAGATCGAAGAGTGGGTCTCTTCTAGCGACCCGAGCAGACGCAGGGGCTGGAGAAGTGCCACCGGCACCGCCCAGCTCTGGCGGTAGCAGTGGAGGCGAAGGTCAACGAGGACAATGTGATGCACGCCTCGGTGGCGTGCTCAGGCGCGTGCTCAGACGGACGAACGGAACCTGCAACTACCCGGACCTCGCCGAGAAGGGTCGCTTGCCCCAGTGCGACGACCACATGGGCGACATGGGCGAGCAGCAGCAGCCGCGCGCCCAGGCGCCCATGGAGACGGACGAGACCGACGACCCGATAGGGGCAGCTGCCACAGCGGCTCCTGGATATCCTCAGCCGACGACGGCCGGCGAGGGAGAGGATGACGGACCAGCTGCGGCCCGCGCCGGCGCGTCTGGCAGCGCTGCGCAGGAGCCCAGCTGGTTCAGCATCGAGGCGACGGCTAAGAGGGCCAAGGAGTGTCGAGGAGGCTGAGAAGCCGGGCGGCATCCCGCTGGCCAAGCGCGCCCGCCTGTCGTGGGCGAAGCTCGCCCTGCAGAGCGAGGAGGCTGCGCTCGCCGACGAGGTGGGCGACGAGATGCCGTTCTTGGAGGAGTCCACCGAGACGGCGTACACGCTGGACTTCAAGAGGAAAGCCCCCGCCATCGTGGAGGGTAGGCGGACGCCCGAGGAGAAGGACTAGTTCTACGCGGCGAAGCTGGAGGCCTTCGAGTTTTACCATCGCAATGACGGCTGGGGGCCCATCAACGAGGCGGATGTGGATCCCAGAGCCTGCTGCCCCCTGCGCTGCCTGTTCATGTGGAAGATGAAGGATGGGCAGAATGTGGCCAACGCGCGGGTGCTCTACCAAGGGTTAAAGCGCCGCGACGTCGCCGAGGGCCAGCTCGACGAGGAAGTGGCGACCTTCAGCAGGCCTGGCCGGCGTACGGTCATGCTCTGGGCGTCTCTAAGGAAGTGGAGGTTGTTCAGCACGGGCATCAAGTCCGCATTTCAACAGGCTGAGGACGTGCCCGCACGCGGCCTCAAGCTGCGCGCGAGCCCGACGAAGGAGATGAGAGAGATGCTCTCTGACCAGATCGGCCTGCAACCTGGACGGCCGCCCAGGATGATCAAGCCGCGTTTTGGTGACCCGCGGTCGCCCAAGCATCGGCGCTATCGTTCCGACGAAGTCGCGGGGGAGATCGGGTTCAAGAACCACGCGCTCGAGGATTGCTTGTTGCTGTCCCTGCGCCCGGCGAGGGTCGACGACGGTCCGTTCGACGCGCGCAGCTTCGAGGGCCAGACCTGCGCGGTGGATGGCCTGATCGGCAAGCGCGCGGGCGACTTCGCCGGGCGCGGCGAGGGCGCGACGAACGACGGGACCTCTACGCGAAGCCCAACGGTACCGAGTGCTTCCAGGCGCGGCTAGGGATGCTCAACGAGAAGTTTAAGTTCGGCAAGTGGGAGTTCGGACCGAGTCCGGTCTTCACTGGAGGCGAAGTGGGGCAGTCTCTGAGCACCTACGGCGCGACCCTCAAGTTCGAGAGGTACCTGCGCGGCGAAGCTCATCGCCGTCGAGAAGCATCGGGAAGCCGACCCCGCGAGCGCGCTGTCGCCGAAGGAGCTGACGAACTTCAGGACTCTGAATGGACAGTTGCAGTGGCCAACAGCCCAAGGGGTGATCATAGCAGCGGCTACTGTGCCCTTCCGAGCTTCGGCGACAGGTCGAACCACCGTGCAGGATCTCTTGGATGCGAACAAAGACTTGCGCTTTCTGAAGGCCAACGCGGACGTAGGGCTGCACTTCCGGTTTGACAGGGCCCGGAGTCAACTACGTTGGCAGCTTGACCGACGCGAGCCGGGCGAACCTACATGACGGAGGTTCGCAGAGAGGCGATGTAATCTTCATTGGCCCCGCGGGCGAGTTCGACGCCGGCGCCCCCGCGCCTTTCGCGTCCATGGAGCGGGCCTCGAAGAAGTTGCTGCGTCTGTGCAGGAGCTCGCTGTCAGCGGATGCCCAGGCAGCAGCCTTGGGTGTGGACTTGCTGTTCCGGGTGAAGGTCTACTAGGCGTGGAGCCTGCGCCCCGACCTGGAGCTCGAAGAGGCGATGGTGCACCTGCAGGTACCTGGGAGAGTCGCCTATCATCACTGGCGCGAAGTGTCTCTACGACGCGTCGCGCTCGGCGGCGGCAGGCCTGGGCATTGCGGAGAAGAGGGCGGCCATCGAGGTGAAGAACGTGAGCGAGCAGATGGCAGAGATCGGCGCTTCCTGGAAGTGGGTGAATACGCAGCGGCAGATGGCGGACGGACTTACCAAGCTCTGGGCCCGCCGAATGATGGCCGATGCACAACGACCCGGTGTGCACGCGCTACGACATGATGCTGACTTCGTGGCCGCACGAAGCTGCCCAAGAGAGCCGTGGATCATCGCGAGAAGGAGCTGGATGACGCCGGCGAGGCACTGCGCGACGCCCTCGAGACACCGCCTGAGACGATGACGAGGGCGAAGGCGAAAGCCAAGCGCCATTTTGGCGCGCTTGGAGCGAAGCTGGCTGCAGCACTGGCAGCTAGCGCAAGCAGCAGTGCGAGGCCAGGTGATACAGTGCACGCCCAGCGGCGTTGAGCTGTTCAGTCCACCGACGACGGCCGACTGGAAAGACATGATTCTGAAGATGGTGGTTTTCGGCTTCTTCCTGGGACTTGTGGTGGCATTATACTGCGGGTTCCGCGCAGGAGCATGGCGGGCGTGCTGGGCCAAGCAGAGCGAGCCCGACGCAGAGATCATTCAGATCGAGCCCGACGCGAAGATCCAGGAGATGTGCGAGGCCAAGTCGGAGCCGCTGCAGCTCAGCGTCGCGACCGCCACGACCGGGGCGTACCTGAAGCCCCATGAAGCTGAAGAGGACGCGCAACGTGCTCGCCCAGTCGCAGCGTCGCTACAACCAAGACATCAGCACGCCGAGGTTCCAGCCGCTGCCCGACTGCGCTCACGGAGCGTTCGTGGCGGGATGAAAGGGGTTCCCAGAAGCCGTTTTGGCGAGAGGCCAGTTTGGCATGATGGTCGGCGTGGCCGACGTGAGTGACACGACGGTCGGCGAGGCCGACATGAGTGATTTGGTCGGCGAGGCCGACTCGTGCGTGAGTGCTCCGAGGAGCGCACTTTGCGCGCGTTTCTGCCCGGCGAAATAGTCCGATCGCCGGGCGCGCTGATCAATGAAAGAGATATCGACGTCGCTGCCGCGACCGCCGGTGAGTTTCACATTCGTTCGAGTCAGACTGGCTCGCGGTGGGGACCAGCGGTGTTGCAGTCGTTTTGCATGCTGCAGTTTCAGTTCTGTTCCCGCTTCCGAGCTTTCTGGTGCTATTCCGGGGAGCCCTGGCCGTGGCAATGTGTTTTTTTGTTGTGCGAATATGTGCTAACTCATTTTTCAGCCCGTGTCAATATACTTCCCGTTCTACCGAGCTACGTGTGCGTTGTCGTGTGTATTGGCACAGCTCAGCAGCTTCAGCATAGCACGTTGCTGCAAGCAGTTGTTTCACATGTGTCTGTATTATTGCCACTTGATGTTCAGGGGGGCCTGAGTCAGTTTAAAGGTTGCGTATATTACGGTTCTTTATACGAATATCAAGATAATCGGCTTTACCGAACACACCCCGAGGAGACTTCGCGTGCTACCATCGGTCATTAGTTGTTATAGGGGGGGGGGGGGGCTTGTGGCAGCCGCGCTCAGCGCCGCGAGTACTCAGAAGCAGGCGTACCCGAACCGTTCGCATTCGTACGCATTTGCACCCGGCTTAGCCGTGCTCGCAGTCATGCACTAGACCCACTCGCGCGCAGGCTCATTCAACCTCAGATTCACCCGCGATCAGACTCACCCGCGCTCAGGCTCTCGTACTCAGACCTGTCGTCCGCGCTCGCGTTTTGTACCCCTCCACGCATGACGGCGCGCCCTTCATGCGGCTCGTGGTCGCGTAGGGAGCGCCGCCGAAGACGATATTCACAATTGGTATATTCACGACTCGGTTTGGTAGGGTCCTACGCCAGGCGAATTGCTGAAAAGAGTCAGAAGAATTCAGACCGCCAAGCACTTTTCCCAACCATCCTGTGGTGTTGGGTCCTCGTTTTGAAGAGACGGTGCCCCGCGTCTCCTTCCTCCTCTCCTCCTCCTCCTCCTCCTCCTCCTCCTCCTCCTCCTCCTCCCTCATCCCCCTCCTTGCTTTTGCTCTCCGCGTGTTTCTGTTTCGGCACACCCTTCACACGTTTCCTGGCCCCATCGGGAGTTCCACCTAGATCCCATTGGCGCAGCCCGCATGGCGGCGCCGCCCCATTTTGACAAACCCCTCACACGTTTCGTGGCCCCATAGGGAGCTCCACCTGAAGTCCCAGTGGCGCAGCCCGCACGGCGGCGCCGCCCCATTCTGGCACACCCCTCACACGCTTCGTGGCCCCATAGGGAGCTTCATCTAAGGTCCCAGTGACGCAGCCCGCGTGACGACGCCGCTCCACTTTGGCAGACCCCTCACACGCTTCGTGGCCCCATACGGAGCTCCACCCGAAGTCCCAGCGGCGCAGCCCGCATGGCGGCCCCGCTCCATTCTGGCACACACACACCACGTTTCATGGCCCCATAGGGGGCTCCATCTCAGGTCCCAGTGGCGCAGCCCGCATGGCGGCGCCGCTCCATTTTGGCACACCCTCACGCGCTTCGTGCCCCCATAGGGAACTCCACCTAAGGCCACATTGGCGCAGCCCGCACGGCGGCGCCGCCCCATTTTGGCACACCCCTCACACGCTTCGTGGCCCCATAGGGAACCCCATCTAGGGTCCCAGCGGCGCAGCCCGCATGGCGGCGCCGCCCCGTCCTGGCGCGCCCCCGACACTTGTGGCCCCATAGGGGGCGCCATCTAAGGCCCCAGCGGCGCTGCCCGCATGGCTGCGCCGCCCTATTGTGGCACGCCCCTCACACGTTTCGGGGCCCCTCACACGTTTTGGAAACCTTCTCTCCGCCTCCTGGACTCTCGCCCTGGGCCGTCGGCTGTCCAGCGCGGTGCCCCTTCGGCCGACGTCGCCCAGGCGTGATCCTGGACTGCGGCCGCCACGAGGTGGAGAACGGCAGGAAGGAGGGCGACGACTGGCGGCTGGAGCTCTACGCGCTGCTCTCGCGCACACCGCGCCACGAGGACCTCCTGCTCACGCGGGCGCCGCGCATCGAGTTCTTCCCGGCAGGGCCGCCGGAGGGATTGTGGAAACAGCTGGAGCAGTTAGCTACGCGCACGAAGCGGCGCAGAAGGGAGGCGACGGCCCTCGCTAAGGAGCTGGGCTTCACTGAGTTCATCCGCGAGGCTTGACTTGAAATGCGGCCCGTCCGAGCCTCGCCGTCTCTCGACGGTCTGACCGTTTGGCTTCGTGCTGCGGGCAACCCGCGCGCGTCGCTGGGGCCCTCTCGGGGCGACCGGCGCGCGTTGCGGGAATTCCGCGCTGCGCTCTGCGCAGAGCCTCGCTCGCCCCCGTCGTCTCTCTGCCCGGCGGCCACAGCTTTGCCCGCTATCAGCCAGCCAGCTCTCTCTGCTCCGCGCAGCGGACGACCCGCGCGCGTCGCCAGGACCCCTCGGGGGCGACCGGCGCGCGTCGCGGGGGCCCCGCGCGGCGCCGCGCCCGCAGCCGCGGACATGGGCGCGAACGGGCAAAGAAAGAGAGAGAGAGAGAGAGAGAGAGAGTGAAAACAAAAAAAAACATTTAAAAAAAGAGAAAGAGAAATATAGAGAGGGGGAAAAACAGAGAAAGAGAAAGAGAGAAAGAGAGAAAAAGAGAAATAGAGAAAGAGAGAGAGAGAGAGAGAAACAAAAACATCACAGGAAGGAAGCGGGCGCGATCCTCGGGAGGAGCGCGCCGACATGGGCGTCGACGCTTATGCGCGTGGACTGATTCGCACGCAGACTCATTCACAATCAGACTCACTCGCGCTCAATCTCTCGCACGCAGACCAATCGTCTTCGCCCGCGTCGCGTGCCCCGCCGCGCATCTCGGCACGCCCCTCGCACGGTTCGGGGCCCCATAGGGAGCGCGAACAAACATGAGATGCATAATTGCGGTATTCACAACTGCGCATGGTTGTGTCTTTCGCCAGGATAATTTCCTGGACGCGCCGTGTCTTACATCTTCAAATAAAACCAAATTGAAAGACTGGTTGGTTGGTGGAGTGGTTGGCCGATTGGCCGCCGATGGCAACGTTAGTTTTTCCCAACCATCTTGTGGTGTTGGGTTTTCGTTTTGAGAAGACGGACCCCGCGTGCATCCTCTCCTTCTCCTCCTCCCCTTCCTCCCTCCCTCCCTCTCGGCGCGCCTCTCACACGCTTCGTGGCCCCATGGGGAGCTCCACCTGAGGTCCCAGAGGTGCAGTCCGCATGGCGGCGCCGCCCAATTTTGGCACACCCATCGCACATTTCGTGGTCCCATAGGGAAGTCCACTGAAGGTCCCAGTGGCGCAGGTCGCGTGGCGGCGCCGTCCCGTGTTGGCACGCCTTCACACGTTTCGTGGCCACATAAGCAACTCCAC